ACGCGGTGAATGTAATTAGGCGCTGGGAGTGACATTTCTAGCCAAATTGTAACCGTCAGGGTATCCTTCCAATTTCGAACTTGAATAAACAGTTAAAATGTTGATTGACCATTCGCCGTAAAAAAAAACAGCGAATCTATGGGAAATAGGGCTATTAAATCCTCACAACTAGGTTTGTGCATAAAATTATGACATTAAACCTTATCTCAGTTCAACTTCAAAGCCTCCAATTTCATCGAGGGAGGCCCCTTTGGTCATTGACCCTAACAAAATCCCAGCATAACGAACGTGGTCAAATCGAGATTAAGGTGCGCACGCACGACTGTATGGGAGAATCGGTAGTTCAGTGAGTAGGATGTTGGCTCGCTAACCTTGAGGTCAGCCACAGTGGATCAGTCAGTAGGACGTTGACTAGCTAACCTGGAGGTCCCGTGTTCGTTCCCTGTTTTGGCCGAGAAAGTTTCGGATGTGGCGAAACAGTGAGTTCTCGTGTACATATTGGCGTACACGTAAAAGATCCCTTGAAAGTTGGAATTCGATGTCAGTTTTGGTTGTCCTAGCAAAATATACCCCATAGCACAATGTATGAAGGATGTCCGTCTTCTATTATTCCCGTGCATACATTGGAGTACACGTAAAAGATCTCTTGGCAATTGGAAATCGATATATGAGTAGTCCGTAGTTCCGCTGTCCGGGCAGAATTCCCTCATATCACAGTTCATTAGTCCAGTCGCAGCGGAACAGTATATTTTTATTGAAATTATTCGTCCGAATGCAGGAGTTTTTAACGTTGGGGTCGCTACTAGGACAATTGCAACGTTGACAGACCGCGTGATCGTAATGAACAGGGAGAAAGTTCATGATTTCTATCAATTGTCCTGATTTATAATGAAATGTATTTAAATAAAAAAAACTGTAAGCTATTCATGCTATTTAAACGCACGCAACATATTCATGAATAAATTTAAAATAAAGTGACTAGTTGTATGTAGAGACTCGATTAATTATTCACGCATATTCATTGTCTGGTGAATAGTGGGACGTTAAACCCCATTTGATTTCATTGATGGCGGTAATAATATAATATGTGATGTATCCAAAATCTTCCCCGTTCCTCCCACACGCACTAAAGTAGCCCGGATATAGTCCTCTATGTGATAACATATCGCCCAGAATCATCTTACTTGCTATTCTCTATATCACATAGTGATGTGAAAATCTGTGATTATAAACTAAACAAAATAAATCAGAAACTGATTAAAGGTGTCACAATATTGAGTTACAACTCTTGTGATCTTTAGATGAGTTTTTTTCGGGTAATATCATAAGAAAACAAGCACGTGGTTTCACCATTAATATGATTGAACACTAACTCACTGATCAAATCAAATGATTCAATCATCCAACGTGTAAATTTATTAACGAGACTGATTGAATCAAGTTGTAAAAACATGGAGGCGGTGCTTCTAAATCCATTGTGAGCTGTGCTCACAACATGGCTTCTATGCTGTATAAAACGCGACCATTTTGCCCTTAAATGTCATTACAAGATTTCCTCTCATACCTAATATTTTCTACAGAAACATGTCTTTTTACAATTTTCAGAGTCCAGTAAGATCTCCACAATCCACCGTAAGTAATTGAAAGGTTTTGTTTGAAACAACGAAGTAAATGGAAAATAACGTTTTTCTTCTTTTTCTTCCCAAATCGTACAACTTGAAACAATTCTGATTTTATTTTCTTCAGGAAATGATGTCAGTAAACACCTTTAAACCAGTCAGATTCGATTTTCTCAGCGATGACGAAGATTCCAGTGATAGTGGTTTTGGTAGTTCTCCCGAATCTGTTTCACATTCAACTTCATGCCAGCGGTCACCAATGATAAAAGCAAAAAGGTCACTGTTTTCATACAAGCGTAAACGAGAAGAAGACGTCCAGGAATGCAAATCGTCAAAAAGGACCATGATTAATCAGCAGGTAAATACTATGAATTATTTTATACTATACGTGTATACAAAAGTATATTTCTCTTAAACGTTTCTAATGACGAAATTGTATTGCATGTACTTTAAATAATAAATGATTTGTTATATACTTTTAGGTGGATATTAAAATGGCTTTGGAAAGAATGGAAAGCGAGCCGTGTTTAATTGGTGATGCAAGTACACAGCACAGTTTACCAACAATTGATGGAAAACACAGCGACCTCATTTCCATAGAATCTAAAACCGTGGGTCGGTTACTGCAAGGAGAATATTCTCAAGATTATACCATTATAGACTGTCGCTACCCTTACGAGTTTGATGGCGGTCACATTCAAGGAGCTATGAATATATTTACAGAGGAAGGAATTCGATCTTTTTTGGAGAACCAGAGAGCGAATGTTATATGCAAACGTCAAGTTTTAGTCTTTCATTGTGAATTTTCATCAAAAAGAGGTCCCAAATTGTAAGTTATCACACAAGTTATTCATTATAAACGTACATAAAACTTCTATACTAATGAAAATGCCAATAGCGGGACTTTGTAAATCTTCCATTATTTCATGTTTTCTCACTTTCTATTTCAGAATGAGATTGCTCAGAAGTCTAGATCGTAAAGAAAACAGTCATCGTTACCCAGAGTTGTATTATCCAGAAATTTATCTTTTAGACGGAGGTTATAAAGCTTTCTACGAATGTAACAAGGTATGTACATTTAATGTATAAACTATGTATAAAGTAATGACAAACAGACTGATTGTTGTCTCTGTACATTATATTTAAGAAAACACAATTTAAGTTCTCTTTATTGTTCTGTTATGTGTGGTTATATCACACGCTAATAAATTACGTTTTACAAGGATTAAAACTTTCATTTTTAATTTATACGAGAATTTCCTGGGTTAGACGTGGTCACGCGGTGAATGTAATTAGGCGCTGGGAGTGACATTTCTAGCCAAATTGTAACCGTCAGGGTATCCTTCCAATTTCGAACTTGAATAAACAGTTAAAATGTTGATTGACCATTCGCCGTAAAAAAAACCAGCGAATCTATGGGAAATAGGGCTATTAAATCCTCACAACTAGGTTTGTGCATAAAATTATGACATTAAACCTTATCTCAGTTCAACTTCAAAGCCTCCAATTTCATCGAGGGAGGCCCCTTTGGTCATTGACCCTAACAAAATCCCAGAATAACGAACGTGGTCAAATCGAGATTAAGGTGCGCACGCACGACTGTATGGGGGAATCGGTAGTTCAGTGAGTAGGGTGTTGGCTCGCTAACCTTGAGGTCAGCCACAGTGGATCAGTCAGTAGGACGTTGACTAGCTAACCTGGAGGTCCCGTGTTCGTTCCCTGTTTTGGCCGAGAAAGTTTCGGATTGGGCGAAATAGTGAGTTCCCGTGTACATATTGGCGTACACGTAAAATATCCCTTGAAAGTTGGAATTCGATGTCAGTTTTGGTTGTCCTAGCAAAATATACCCCATAGCACAATGTATGAAGGATGTCCGTCTTCTATTATTCCCGTGCATACATTGGAGTACACGTAAAAGATCTCTTGGCAATTGGAAATCGATATATGAGTAGGCTGTAGTTCCGATGTCCGGGCAAAATTCCCTCATATCACAGTTCATTAGTCCAGTCGCAGCGGAACAGTATATTTTTATTGAAATTATTCGTCCGAATGCAGGAGTTTTTAACGTTGGGGTCGCTACTATGACAATTGCAACGTTGACAGACCGCGTGATCGTAATGAACAGGGAGAAAGTTCATGATTTCTATCAATTGTCCTGATTTATAATGAAATGTATTTAAATAAAAAAAACTGTAAGCTATTCATGCTATTTAAACGCACGCAACATTTTCATGAATAAATTTAAAATAAAGTGACTAGTTGTATGTAGAGACTCGATTAATTGTTCACGCATATTCATTGTCTGGTGAATAGTGGGACGTTAAACCCCATTTGATTTCATTGATGGCGGTAATAATATAATATGTGATGTATCCAAAATCTTCCCCGTTCCTCCCACACGCACTAAAGTAGCCCGGATATAGTCCTCTATGTGATAACATATCGCCCAGAATCATCTTACTTGCTATTCTCTATATCACATAGTGATGTGAAAATCTGTGATTATAAACTAAACAAAATAAATCAGAAAGGTGTCACAATATTGAGTTACAACTCTTGTGATCTTTAGATGAGTTTATTTCGGGTAATATCATAAGAAAACAAGCACGTGGTTTCACCATTAATATGATTGGACACTAACTCACTGATCAAATCAAATGATTCAATCATCCAACGTGTAAATTTATTAACGAGACTGATTGAATCAAGTTGTAAAAACATGGAGGCGGTGCTTCTAAATCCATTGTGAGCTGTGCTCACAACATGGCTTCTATGCTGTATAAAACGCGACCATTTTGCCCTTAAATGTCATTACAAGATTTCCTCTCATACCTAATATTTTCTACAGAAACATGTCTTTTTACAATTTTCAGAGTCCAGTAAGATCTCCACAATCCACCGTAAGTAATTGAAAGGTTTTGTTTGAAACAACGAAGTAAATGGAAAATAACGTTTTTCTTCTTTTTCTTCCCAAATCGTACAACTTGAAACAATTCTGATTTTATTTTTTTCAGGAAATGATGTCAGTAAACACCTTTAAACCAGTCAGATTCGATTTTCTCAGCGATGACGAAGATTCCAGTGATAGTGGTTTTGGTAGTTCTCCCGAATCTGTTTCACATTCAACTTCATGCCAGCGGTCACCAATGATAAAAGCAAAAAGGTCACTGTTTTCATACAAGCGTAAACGAGAAGAAGACGTCCAGGAATGCAAATCGTCAAAAAGGACCATGATTAATCAGCAGGTAAATACTATGAATTTTTTTATACTATACGTGTATACAAAAGTATATTTCTCTTAAACGTTTCTAATGACGAAATTGTATTGCATGTACTTTAAATAATAAATGTTTTGTTATATACTTTTAGGTGGATATTAAAATGGCTTTGGAAAGAATGGAAAGCGAGCCGTGTTTAATTGGTGATGCAAGTACACAGCACAGTTTACCAACAATTGATGGAAAACACAGCGACCTCATTTCCATAGAATCTAAAACCGTGGGTCGGTTACTGCAAGGAGAATATTCTCAAGATTATACCATTATAGACTGTCGCTACCCTTACGAGTTTGATGGCGGTCACATTCAAGGAGCTATGAATATATTTACAGAGGAAGGAATTCGATCTTTTTTGGAGAACCAGAGAGCGAGTGTTATATGTAAACGTCAAGTTTTAGTCTTTCATCAAAAAGAGGTCCCAAATTGTAAGTTATCACACAAGTTATTCATTATAAACGTACATAAAACTTCTATACTAATGAAAATGCCAATAGCGGGACTTTGTAAATCTTCCATTATTTCATGTTTTCTCACTTTCTATTTCAGAATGAGATTGCTCAGAAGTCTAGATCGTAAAGAAAACAGTCATCGTTACCCAGAGTTGTATTATCCAGAAATTTATCTTTTAGACGGAGGTTATAAAGCTTTCTACGAATGTAACAAGGTATGTACATTTAATGTATAAACTATGTATAAAGTAATGACAAACAGACTGATTGTTGTCTCTGTACATACGACTGTATGGGAGAATCGGTAGTTTAGTGAGTAGGATGTTGGCTCGCTAACCTTGAGGTCAGCCACAGTGGATCAGTCAGTAGGACGTTGACTAGCTAACCTGGAGGTCCCGTGTTCGTTCCCTGTTTTGGCCGAGAAAGTTTCGGATTTTGCGAAATAGTGAGTTCCCGTGTACATATTGGCGTACACGTAAAATATCCCTTGAAAGTTGGAATTCGATGTCAGTTTTGGTTGTCCTAGCAAAATATACCCCATAGCACAATGTATGCAGGATGTCCGTCTTCTATTATTCCCGTGCATACATTGGAGTACACGTAAAAGATCTCTTGGCAATTGGAAATCGATATATGAGTAGGCTGTAGTTCCGATGTCCGGGCAAAATTCCCTCATATCACAGTTCATTAGTCCAGTCGCAGCGGAACAGTATATTTTTATTGAAATTATTCGTCCGAATAATTCATCAAAAAGAGGTCCCAAATTGTAAGTTATCACACAAGTTATTCATTATAAACGTACATAAAACTTCTATACTAATGAAAATGCCAATAGCGGGACTTTGTAAATCTTCCATTATTTCATGTTTTCTCACTTTCTATTTCAGAATGAGATTGCTCAGAAGTCTAGATCGTAAAGAAAACAGTCATCGTTACCCAGAGTTGTATTATCCAGAAATTTATCTTTTAGACGGAGGTTATAAAGCTTTCTACGAATGTAACAAGGTATGTACATTTAATGTATAAACTATGTATAAAGTAATGACAAACAGACTGATTGTTGTCTCTGTACATTATATTTAAGAAAACACAATTTAAGTTCTCTTTATTTTTTATATTTTAGGCTCAATGTAATCCCCAGGCTTATCTACCAATGCTTCACGAAGACCACTCGAGTGATCTCCGCCATTTTCGTACCAGATCTAAGTCCTGGACAGCAGGTGAAAAGCGCAGCCGGTCGCGCCGAGTCGCCCAGTCGCCATACTAAATTGTTAACCTTTGTTTTTGTGATTTCTTGTTAGTTGTTATAATTTATCTAGAAGCTGATCTGTGATAATGTGATTAATTGTTTTTATCTTGTTAAAGTTTTTAAAATGTTGTTGTTATAATTATATCTATAGAATTGTATATAATATTGTTCTGTTATGTGTGGTTATATCACACGCTAATAAATTACGTTTTACAAGGATTAAAACTTTCATTTTTAATTTATACGAGAATTTCCTGGGTTAGACGTGGTCACGCGGTGAATGTAATTAGGCGCTGGGAGTGACATTTCTAGCCAAATTGTAACCGTCAGGGTATCCTTCCAATTTCGAACTTGAATAAACAGTTAAAATGTTGATTGACCATTCGCCGTAAAAAAAAACAGCGAATCTATGGGAAATAGGGCTATTAAATCCTCACAACTAGGTTTGTGCATAAAATTATGACATTAAACCTTATCTCAGTTCAACTTCAAAGCCTCCAATTTCATCGAGGGAGGCCCCTTTGGTCATTGACCCTAACAAAATCCCAGCATAACGAACGTGGTCAAATCGAGATTAAGGTGCGCACGCACGACTGTATGGGAGAATCGGTAGTTCAGTGAGTAGGATGTTGGCTCGCTAACCTTGAGGTCAGCCACAGTGGATCAGTCAGTAGGACGTTGACTAGCTAACCTGGAGGTCCCGTGTTCGTTCCCTGTTTTGGCCGAGAAAGTTTCGGATGTGGCGAAACAGTGAGTTCTCGTGTACATATTGGCGTACACGTAAAAGATCCCTTGAAAGTTGGAATTCGATGTCAGTTTTGGTTGTCCTAGCAAAATATACCCCATAGCACAATGTATGAAGGATGTCCGTCTTCTATTATTCCCGTGCATACATTGGAGTACACGTAAAAGATCTCTTGGCAATTGGAAATCGATATATGAGTAGTCCGTAGTTCCGCTGTCCGGGCAGAATTCCCTCATATCACAGTTCATTAGTCCAGTCGCAGCGGAACAGTATATTTTTATTGAAATTATTCGTCCGAATGCAGGAGTTTTTAACGTTGGGGTCGCTACTAGGACAATTGCAACGTTGACAGACCGCGTGATCGTAATGAACAGGGAGAAAGTTCATGATTTCTATCAATTGTCCTGATTTATAATGAAATGTATTTAAATAAAAAAAACTGTAAGCTATTCATGCTATTTAAACGCACGCAACATATTCATGAATAAATTTAAAATAAAGTGACTAGTTGTATGTAGAGACTCGATTAATTATTCACGCATATTCATTGTCTGGTGAATAGTGGGACGTTAAACCCCATTTGATTTCATTGATGGCGGTAATAATATAATATGTGATGTATCCAAAATCTTCCCCGTTCCTCCCACACGCACTAAAGTAGCCCGGATATAGTCCTCTATGTGATAACATATCGCCCAGAATCATCTTACTTGCTATTCTCTATATCACATAGTGATGTGAAAATCTGTGATTATAAACTAAACAAAATAAATCAGAAACTGATTAAAGGTGTCACAATATTGAGTTACAACTCTTGTGATCTTTAGATGAGTTTTTTTCGGGTAATATCATAAGAAAACAAGCACGTGGTTTCACCATTAATATGATTGAACACTAACTCACTGATCAAATCAAATGATTCAATCATCCAACGTGTAAATTTATTAACGAGACTGATTGAATCAAGTTGTAAAAACATGGAGGCGGTGCTTCTAAATCCATTGTGAGCTGTGCTCACAACATGGCTTCTATGCTGTATAAAACGCGACCATTTTGCCCTAAAATGTCATTACAAGATTTCCTCTCATACCTAATATTTTCTACAGAAACATGTCTTTTTACAATTTTCAGAGTCCAGTAAGATCTCCACAATCCACCGTAAGTAATTGAAAGGTTTTGTTTGAAACAACGAAGTAAATGGAAAATAACGTTTTTCTTCTTTTTCTTCCCAAATCGTACAACTTGAAACAATTCTGATTTTATTTTTTTCAGGAAATGATGTCAGTAAACACCTTTAAACCAGTCAGATTCGATTTTCTCAGCGATGACGAAGATTCCAGTGATAGTGGTTTTGGTAGTTCTCCCGAATCTGTTTCACATTCAACTTCATGCCAGCGGTCACCAATGATAAAAGCAAAAAGGTCACTGTTTTCATACAAGCGTAAACGAGAAGAAGACGTCCAGGAATGCAAATCGTCAAAAAGGACCATGATTAATCAGCAGGTAAATACTATGAATTATTTTATACTATACGTGTATACAAAAGTATATTTCTCTTAAACGTTTCTAATGACGAAATTGTATTGCATGTACTTTAAATAATAAATGATTTGTTATATACTTTTAGGTGGATATTAAAATGGCTTTGGAAAGAATGGAAAGCGAGCCGTGTTTAATTGGTGATGCAAGTACACAGCACAGTTTACCAACAATTGATGGAAAACACAGCGACCTCATTTCCATAGAATCTAAAACCGTGGGTCGGTTACTGCAAGGAGAATATTCTCAAGATTATACCATTATAGACTGTCGCTACCCTTACGAGTTTGATGGCGGTCACATTCAAGGAGCTATGAATATATTTACAGAGGAAGGAATTCGATCTTTTTTGGAGAACCAGAGAGCGAATGTTATATGCAAACGTCAAGTTTTAGTCTTTCATTGTGAATTTTCATCAAAAAGAGGTCCCAAATTGTAAGTTATCACACAAGTTATTCATTATAAACGTACATAAAACTTCTATACTAATGAAAATGCCAATAGCGGGACTTTGTAAATCTTCCATTATTTCATGTTTTCTCACTTTCTATTTCAGAATGAGATTGCTCAGAAGTCTAGATCGTAAAGAAAACAGTCATCGTTACCCAGAGTTGTATTATCCAGAAATTTATCTTTTAGACGGAGGTTATAAAGCTTTCTACGAATGTAACAAGGTATGTACATTTAATGTATAAACTATGTATAAAGTAATGACAAACAGACTGATTGTTGTCTCTGTACATTATATTTAAGAAAACACAATTTAAGTTCTCTTTATTTTTTATATTTTAGGCTCAATGTAATCCCCAGGCTTATCTACCAATGCTTCACGAAGACCACTCGAGTGATCTCCGCCATTTTCGTACCAGATCTAAGTCCTGGACAGCAGGTGAAAAGCGCAGCCGGTCGCGCCGAGTCGCCCAGTCGCCATACTAAATTGTTAACCTTTGTTTTTGTGATTTCTTGTTAGTTGTTATAATTTATCTAGAAGCTGATCTGTGATAATGTGATTAATTGTTTTTATCTTGTTAAAGTTTTTAAAATGTTGTTGTTATAATTATATCTATAGAATTGTATATAATATTGTTCTGTTATGTGTGGTTATATCACACGCTAATAAATTACGTTTTACAAGGATTAAAACTTTCATTTTTAATTTATACGAGAATTTCCTGGGTTAGACGTGGTCACGCGGTGAATGTAATTAGGCGCTGGGAGTGACATTTCTAGCCAAATTGTAACCGTCAGGGTATCCTTCCAATTCGCCGTAAAAAAAACAGCGAATCTATGGGAAATAGGGCTATTAAATCCTCACAACTAGGTTTGTGCATAAAATTATGACATTAAACCTTATCTCAGTTCAACTTCAAAGCCTCCAATTTCATCGAGGGAGGCCCCTTTGGTCATTGACCCTAACAAAATCCCAGAATAACGAACGTGGTCAAATCGAGATTAAGGTGCGCACGCACGACTGTATGGGAGAATCGGTAGTTCAGTGAGTAGGATGTTGGCTCGCTAACCTTGAGGTCAGCCACAGTGGATCAGTCAGTAGGACGTTGACTAGCTAACCTGGAGGTCCCGTGTTCGTTCCCTGTTTTGGCCGAGAAAGTTTCGGATTGGGCGAAATAGTGAGTTCCCGTGTACATATTGGCGTACACGTAAAATATCCCTTGAAAGTTGGAATTCGATGTCAGTTTTGGTTGTCCTAGCAAAATATACCCCATAGCACAATGTATGCAGGATGTCCGTCTTCTATTATTCCCGTGCATACATTGGAGTACACGTAAAAGATCTCTTGGCAATTGGAAATCGATATATGAGTAGGCTGTAGTTTATACGAGAATTTCCTGGGTTAGACGTGGTCACGCGGTGAATGTAATTAGGCGCTGGGAGTGACATTTCTAGCCAAATTGTAACCGTCAGGGTATCCTTCCAATTTCGAACTTGAATAAACAGTTAAAATGTTGATTGACCATTCGCCGTAAAAAAAAACAGCGAATCTATGGGAAATAGGGCTATTAAATCCTCACAACTAGGTTTGTGCATAAAATTATGACATTAAACCTTATCTCAGTTCAACTTCAAAGCCTCCAATTTCATCGAGGGAGGCCCCTTTGGTCATTGACCCTAACAAAATCCCAGCATAACGAACGTGGTCAAATCGAGATTAAGGTGCGCACGCACGACTGTATGGGAGAATCGGTAGTTCAGTGAGTAGGATGTTGGCTCGCTAACCTTGAGGTCAGCCACAGTGGATCAGTCAGTAGGACGTTGACTAGCTAACCTGGAGGTCCCGTGTTCGTTCCCTGTTTTGGCCGAGAAAGTTTCGGATGTGGCGAAACAGTGAGTTCTCGTGTACATATTGGCGTACACGTAAAAGATCCCTTGAAAGTTGGAATTCGATGTCAGTTTTGGTTGTCCTAGCAAAATATACCCCATAGCACAATGTATGAAGGATGTCCGTCTTCTATTATTCCCGTGCATACATTGGAGTACACGTAAAAGATCTCTTGGCAATTGGAAATCGATATATGAGTAGTCCGTAGTTCCGCTGTCCGGGCAGAATTCCCTCATATCACAGTTCATTAGTCCAGTCGCAGCGGAACAGTATATTTTTATTGAAATTATTCGTCCGAATGCAGGAGTTTTTAACGTTGGGGTCGCTACTAGGACAATTGCAACGTTGACAGACCGCGTGATCGTAATGAACAGGGAGAAAGTTCATGATTTCTATCAATTGTCCTGATTTATAATGAAATGTATTTAAATAAAAAAAACTGTAAGCTATTCATGCTATTTAAACGCACGCAACATATTCATGAATAAATTTAAAATAAAGTGACTAGTTGTATGTAGAGACTCGATTAATTATTCACGCATATTCATTGTCTGGTGAATAGTGGGACGTTAAACCCCATTTGATTTCATTGATGGCGGTAATAATATAATATGTGATGTATCCAAAATCTTCCCCGTTCCTCCCACACGCACTAAAGTAGCCCGGATATAGTCCTCTATGTGATAACATATCGCCCAGAATCATCTTACTTGCTATTCTCTATATCACATAGTGATGTGAAAATCTGTGATTATAAACTAAACAAAATAAATCAGAAACTGATTAAAGGTGTCACAATATTGAGTTACAACTCTTGTGATCTTTAGATGAGTTTTTTTCGGGTAATATCATAAGAAAACAAGCACGTGGTTTCACCATTAATATGATTGAACACTAACTCACTGATCAAATCAAATGATTCAATCATCCAACGTGTAAATTTATTAACGAGACTGATTGAATCAAGTTGTAAAAACATGGAGGCGGTGCTTCTAAATCCATTGTGAGCTGTGCTCACAACATGGCTTCTATGCTGTATAAAACGCGACCATTTTGCCCTAAAATGTCATTACAAGATTTCCTCTCATACCTAATATTTTCTACAGAAACATGTCTTTTTACAATTTTCAGAGTCCAGTAAGATCTCCACAATCCACCGTAAGTAATTGAAAGGTTTTGTTTGAAACAACGAAGTAAATGGAAAATAACGTTTTTCTTCTTTTTCTTCCCAAATCGTACAACTTGAAACAATTCTGATTTTATTTTTTTCAGGAAATGATGTCAGTAAACACCTTTAAACCAGTCAGATTCGATTTTCTCAGCGATGACGAAGATTCCAGTGATAGTGGTTTTGGTAGTTCTCCCGAATCTGTTTCACATTCAACTTCATGCCAGCGGTCACCAATGATAAAAGCAAAAAGGTCACTGTTTTCATACAAGCGTAAACGAGAAGAAGACGTCCAGGAATGCAAATCGTCAAAAAGGACCATGATTAATCAGCAGGTAAATACTATGAATTATTTTATACTATACGTGTATACAAAAGTATATTTCTCTTAAACGTTTCTAATGACGAAATTGTATTGCATGTACTTTAAATAATAAATGATTTGTTATATACTTTTAGGTGGATATTAAAATGGCTTTGGAAAGAATGGAAAGCGAGCCGTGTTTAATTGGTGATGCAAGTACACAGCACAGTTTACCAACAATTGATGGAAAACACAGCGACCTCATTTCCATAGAATCTAAAACCGTGGGTCGGTTACTGCAAGGAGAATATTCTCAAGATTATACCATTATAGACTGTCGCTACCCTTACGAGTTTGATGGCGGTCACATTCAAGGAGCTATGAATATATTTACAGAGGAAGGAATTCGATCTTTTTTGGAGAACCAGAGAGCGAATGTTATATGCAAACGTCAAGTTTTAGTCTTTCATTGTGAATTTTCATCAAAAAGAGGTCCCAAATTGTAAGTTATCACACAAGTTATTCATTATAAACGTACATAAAACTTCTATACTAATGAAAATGCCAATAGCGGGACTTTGTAAATCTTCCATTATTTCATGTTTTCTCACTTTCTATTTCAGAATGAGATTGCTCAGAAGTCTAGATCGTAAAGAAAACAGTCATCGTTACCCAGAGTTGTATTATCCAGAAATTTATCTTTTAGACGGAGGTTATAAAGCTTTCTACGAATGTAACAAGGTATGTACATTTAATGTATAAACTATGTATAAAGTAATGACAAACAGACTGATTGTTGTCTCTGTACATTATATTTAAGAAAACACAATTTAAGTTCTCTTTATTTTTTATATTTTAGGCTCAATGTAATCCCCAGGCTTATCTACCAATGCTTCACGAAGACCACTCGAGTGATCTCCGCCATTTTCGTACCAGATCTAAGTCCTGGATAGCAGGTGAAAAGCGCAGCCGGTCGCGCCGAGTCGCCCAGTCGCCATACTAAATTGTTAACCTTTGTTTTTGTGATTTCTTGTTAGTTGTTATAATTTATCTAGAAGCTGATCTGTGATAATGTGATTAATTGTTTTTATCTTGTTAAAGTTTTTAAAATGTTGTTGTTATAATTATATCTATAGAATTGTATATAATATTGTTCTGTTATGTGTGGTTATATCACACGCTAATAAATTACGTTTTACAAGGATTAAAACTTTCATTTTTAATTTATACGAGAATTTCCTGGGTTAGACGTGGTCACGCGGTGAATGTAATTAGGCGCTGGGAGTGACATTTCTAGCCAAATTGTAACCGTCAGGGTATCCTTCCAATTCGCCGTAAAAAAAACAGCGAATCTATGGGAAATAGGGCTATTAAATCCTCACAACTAGGTTTGTGCATAAAATTATGACATTAAACCTTATCTCAGTTCAACTTCAAAGCCTCCAATTTCATCGAGGGAGGCCCCTTTGGTCATTGACCCTAACAAAATCCCAGAATAACGAACGTGGTCAAATCGAGATTAAGGTGCGCACGCACGACTGTATGGGAGAATCGGTAGTTCAGTGAGTAGGATGTTGGCTCGCTAACCTTGAGGTCAGCCACAGTGGATCAGTCAGTAGGACGTTGACTAGCTAACCTGGAGGTCCCGTGTTCGTTCCCTGTTTTGGCCGAGAAAGTTTCGGATTGGGCGAAATAGTGAGTTCCCGTGTACATATTGGCGTACACGTAAAATATCCCTTGAAAGTTGGAATTCGATGTCAGTTTTGGTTGTCCTAGCAAAATATACCCCATAGCACAATGTATGCAGGATGTCCGTCTTCTATTATTCCCGTGCATACATTGGAGTACACGTAAAAGATCTCTTGGCAATTGGAAATCGATATATGAGTAGGCTGTAGTTTATACGAGAATTTCCTGGGTTAGACGTGGTCACGCGGTGAATGTAATTAGGCGCTGGGAGTGACATTTCTAGCCAAATTGTAACCGTCAGGGT